AGCACAAGCTACGCGCTACTAGTGTTCTTGGCTCGGGAAGGCGTCACGGCCACCACGGAACGGATCATGCGATGGCTCAACGCCGTGAGAGACTGGGACCGGGCGTTCATGTCCACTGTTGTAAGTATTGTACACAAAAAACGGAAGTTGTTTTTGTTCACTTACGTTAAACAAAGGTTCACTAGTATAACCATTTGATTTCGAAGGGATTTTGTGATTTTTTCCCCAACAGATTCCCAAAGTATAACTTTGTGATTCCTATTTCAGATGATTTCATTTGAATATATAGCATCTCTTATATCTCCCACAGGATACGGTGGTGGCCATGGAAGCGCTGGCGGAATACGCTTTCATAGCTCGGCTTCGTGACTTGACAGAGATCGAATGCACGCTGGATGTGACATCAGAAGAAACTCAGTCTGTTCACCTCTCTATCAGTAACGTTTCAACGGCGTCGTATCACACCTTTGAAGTACGTGTCCTTAGACCAAAATTATTAACCCGAATTCCTTATGTACGTCTGGAACACAAGTGTATATTCTATTAAAGAGATGATTATATACGACTTTACGTTGACTGATACTGTGGAATATATTGACAGTGATGATAGGATAACATCAACAATAGCAACAATGATATAGATGATAACAATAACAATGACAATGATAAAAAGGCTGTTGTTCTTTCCGAAAGCAGCAATGAAAGCAACAGTGATATAGCAACATAGTCGCTCTGACCAAAGTCTCGTGCGTCCTAACACTCCCCTCCCCCTCAGCTGGAGAACGTGTGGGGCCACATCAACCTCCTGGCCAAGGGCTCGGGTCAGGCGGTGGCTCAGCTGGACGTGTCTTGGGGCGTCGACGTCCTTAGGTTCATCGAGCAGCCGCACAAGAGGTACTTCGACCTCAACGTCGAGGAGAGATACCACCAGTTCAGGAACAAGTCGCTCATCACCACCACTGTTTGCGCGCAGTAAGATAGATTCCCAAGTTTAGTTTTGCTGTTATTATTATTATTATTATTATTATTATTATTATTATCATTATTATTATTATTATTATTATTATTATCATTATTATTATTATTATTATTATTACTATTATTATTATTATTACTATTATTATTATCATTATTATTATTATTATTATTATTATTATTATTATTATTATTATTATTTCTTTAATTTAGTATAGAACCGTTTCTATACCCTTTTCCGTAAAAAAGATGACGTAATTCTTAATTTGTTGTAGTCATTAGTTTCTTTCCGTACATAAGAATGTAAAACTAATGCACTTCTCCTTTCTAGATGGTTAGCTACAGAAGACAGTCACACGAGCCACGCCGCACTGGTGGAAATCGAGATTCCAACCGGCTATATATTCTTTCAACCCATTGCTGAAGTTACCGCTTTAGACATCAAAGAAAACGGCACTTTTCCGGAAATACGAAATGTCCACACGACGAACACTCACGTCTTCTGGCAGTTTGAATATGTAAGATTATATTTTTTTTTGTTGGGTAATATCAAAGTGCCTTGTCAGATTCTGACATTGACTGTCACAGCATGATACGAAATTCTGTCTTCTGCCAAACGAATGATGTCCACTCCTCTCCCTTCTAAGCACTTGCCCAACCAACCGAGAAATGTCTTTGTCTTCCTCCATCTCTCTTTCCTTCTACTTTCCCTGTTACCACTTGGTATTCGATCTTTCCTTTCTTTATTATGTGTCCCAAAAAGCTACATTGTCTTTTCACTATTTGCTTTACTAATTGTCTTTCAGTCAGGGCTTTTCTCAATACATTTTCATTCGTTACCTTCTCTGTCCAGGAGATCTTCATCCTCCTCCGTAAAAACCACATTTCTGCCGCCTCGAGTTGCTTTTTCATTGCTTCGCTTATTGTCCATGTTTCACATCCATACATCATCGTACTCCATATATAGCACTTGATAAGCCTTAATTTGGTTTGGTTGCTAATGGTTTTTGCAGTGAGCACGTTGGACATTGATTGAAATGCTGTTTTTGCGATTCCAATTCTTCGTTTTATTTCTTGATCTGATTTCGCACCTGATGTTATTAAGCTCCCTAGATATTCAAATTTTTCTACCTGTTTGATTCTTATTCCATCTATTTCTATATTGCATGCTGGACTTACATTCTTCTTTGAAATGGTCATACTGAAGGTCTTTCTTTTGTTAATTTCTAGGCCAAATTTTCTACTTCCGTCTGCTATTACATTAAGGAGGTTTTGTAGCTGTTCTTCTGAATCTGTAACAATGGCAGTATCATCTGCATATCAGATTTATCTACATTGAGCCCTCCAACTTTTACTCCATCCATGTGGTTAATTTTCCTCATTATCATCTCTGTGTAAATTGTATACAAGCACTAGCTTCTTTTAAAATCATCGAAAGCACTCTTTGAAGTAAACGATGAAGATACTGTAGGTTCTTGTAGTGTGTTCGTGTCATAAAACTCACATAATCTAAACCAGTGGCTTC